TTGTTACAAGAAACTTTGCTGGTTGGGATACCGTGCATATACTTGTTATAAATACTATCCTAAATTTACATCATCAAAAGAAAGTGATGTGAATTAAAAGACTAAATGAGTGTTTAACTACGACACTCTGTTTCGTTAGACGGTCTCTAGAGTATGTTTTTACACATATAATTTTTTGAGTGTGACGAGCAAGAATTTTCATGATATTTGAGTAACCTCAATGATGATGAACGGCGAACGCAATGTTTCAGCCGCCAAATTCACAAACAGGTATTATGCGTGCAGGTTTTAGCGATTCAAGATGGACACAATAATAAATTTAACAAGTTTGGGACCGTACATAATATTAACATGCAAGCAAGGAACGGGTACCAAACAGTGAATAATAACTCTAAAAATTCTAATTAAGAATTTTTATCAATTTGAAGTCTCCTGCTCTGCAAAAAAATTGAACTTGCCTAATTTCAGGTGCAGACGTAATAAATGCCACACAGCAAGGAAGGCCATCGGTCGAATCAATATTTTCAATACGCATCATCACTAGTAGTGACTGAATGATTTGCTATTATTTTTTTAGTCAAATCTTTCGTAATGAACAATAATCTTTCGTTTTCGTTAATGTTGGTTAATTTATTCGTAGGAAACTAACCAACTTTAATTTTTAAATGGCAAAATGAAAACAATCTTATGATTAAAGATTCCCGGTGACCACTATCAAATATTTGTTGACTATGCTATTTGTATTATTTTCTCGACTATGTATAAAATTCAATATATTATTGAATTTTAACAGCACTTCGCCGCTTATATGGCTTCGCAATGATAGACTAACGATCAACGTTGAGTTACACCGCTACAAAAATCTCCAAAAAAAGGGATTTTTTTTCCTCAAAGATCATAAGTGATTTTAAGGGATTCTCGAGGAGCCCCCATGTTGTATAACCAAAAAAAATTCTACAATATCAGACATTTGAAACATTTACAAATGCTATCAAGCTCAGTTAATAAACGTTTATAAGTTATTCCGAAAGTAATAGTGTAAATTGTCTCTGAAATTCCTAATATTATATGCAAGTGTACTAATATTTTGAAGTATTTAAATGTGCGGGGCACAGAATGAGACTGACCTTGCCCGACCGCAAAATACTCAGTGAAAGATCCGTAGACTACGAGAGGAAAACCGAAGTCCCGTTATAAACGCATTGAGACTTGGCTAGCTTCCGTTATAGAGGCAACTGTATTAAAATTAAAGCGGTAGAGGAACTGCATTAGAATTCAAGAGATTGAGGAACTGTATTAGAATTCAAGAGATAAAGGAACTGTATTAGAATTCAAGAGGTAGAGGAACTGTATTAGAATGCAAGAGATTGAGGAACTGTAGTAGAATTCAAGAGATAAAGGAACTGTATTAGAATTCAAGAGGTAGAGGAACTGTATTAGAATTCAAGAGGTAGAGAAACTGTATTAGAATTCAAGAGGTTGAGGAACTGTATTAGAATGCAAGAGGTAAAGGAACTGTATTAGAATTCAAAAGATAGAGGAACTGTATTGAAATTCAAGAGATAGAACACTTGTATTCGAATTCAAGAGGTAGAGGATTGGTATTAGAATTCAAGAGGTAGAGAATCTGTATTGGAATTCAAGAGAAATTAACTTGATTCCGCGGTGCAAGTGAACGCATTGAAGCTTTCGAGCGTTCGGTCTTGTTGCTTTAAAGCCACGTTGAAAAAAAAACGCTTCAGATTATAATTATTCAGTTTTTGTTGTGTACCACTGTATGCATGGAAACTATTTAATGATAAAAATAGGAATAATGAAAATATTTAATAAACAAGTAAGTATTTTGTCATAAAATGACTGTATCAAATTATATTGGTTACAAATCATGATTTGTACATACGTTTTTAGTTCAAAGACTGATCAACGAAATAAATGAACAAACTTAGCTATAAAGTAATACATATACATGCAGCTAGTATCCCAGGCAATTAAAAAAATTTTGCATAAACCCCATTAATAAACTATATAACAAAACCTACAGTATCGTGATCGTACAGAATAAAAACATAAAAAAATTCAAGTCTCTTATTAACTTCGCCAGCGGCAAAGAAAGTTGACATTTGATTAATACTTTTCCCGCTGCCTCTTGATAAGCAGCACACGAAGGTAGGTTTTTTGTTAAGCTTTATAGCTGAGCAAATGTGCTGAGTCATGCCACAGGTGGCCCTATACAGGGGCGCTGAACTTGACCTCCGCTGCGCCGATACCGCGGCCGTAACGCGACCTTGCGTGTCGCGCATGCCGAGGTTTGGAGGTGCCAGCATGAAATATACGGCGACGAGGAGTAGAAATACGGCGACGAGGAATACGGCGTCGAGGAATACGGCGACGAGGAATACGGCGACGAGGAATACGGCGACGAGGAATAGAAATACGGCGACGAGGAATAGAAATACGGCGACAAGGAATAGAAATACGGCGACGAGGAATACGGCGACGAGGAATGCGGCGACGAGGAGTAGAAATACGGCGACGGGGAATACGGCGACGAGGAATAGAAATACGGCGACGAGAAATACGGCAACGAGGAATACGGCGACGAGGAATAGAAATCTCTGGCACTGCTATAAATCTCTGGCTCGGGTGTATATATCTGGCACCGGAATAAATTTCGGGAACTGTTTGAAAAACTGGCACATGTGTTAATCTCTGACACTGCTATAAATCTCTGGGAAGGGTGTAAGTCTCTTGCATGGACGTGAGTCTCTTGCACTGGTGTAAGTCTATCGTACCGGTTTAAGTCAATGACACTGGTATAATCATCTGAAACTAAAATAAATCTCTAGCACTCCTATTGATAGTTGGCACAGGCTTAAATCTCTGGCACGGGTGTAAATCTCATCTTCAAATGTAAAACTTTGGCATAATTGTGTAAATAATTGTGGATACACGTTCGAGTAGCACCTCTAAAAGCACGGAATTGAAACAAAATAGTTTTGAAAAATCACTTTACGAATATGTTATATATTCATATATATTGATCCAAGTTACGTATTTGCAATTCAGTCATCAAATAAATACTATGCATATTTTTACCTGAAGTACTGCCCAACGTTCTCTCTCAGCCTAATGCAGCTGGAATGACTTTTGTCACAAAATGAATAGTATTGCAAAATGAGAGAAAAATTATATATATGAACACTGATTGAGCAGTCAAGCGTGGTAGTGAGGCAAAGTGAATAGTGTATATTTAAAAAAGAAATAAAAGTAGCAAATCACTATTGCGCTCGAGTTGTACTAAATGAGAGTTGGATCGGTGATACTTGATTAGCATACGTTTTTTGCCAGGCGTCCAAATAAATTCAATAGAAATGGCTCGTGTCTTCATTAAATGAACGATGCGTGATTTCTATATACTTTTTCTGTTAATATTTTATTCGAATTCAATACATGATTGATGCGAAAAAATTCTTCAATATAATTTATTTACTTCATATACCGGATGATTGCCAGTCTAAATCTAAAGTTTCTGCTTCTATGCAAATGTTTACGGAGCGTGCTATTAATTGCTTGCCTTTTTTTGAGCCAGCGATGGATTAACGTGAGTCCTGAATGTGGATATGGATGATTTTTTTTTTGAGCCCCTTAGGAGTCAGCGCCTGTACTTACTGTGGACTTGGGTGCATATGTTTGAATCACTAATGAGTTAGCGTGTCTCCTGATTATTGAATTGAAAGTTTTTTTTTAAATTACAGACGAGTCAGTCAAAACCCCAAATGACGGACTTAAAGACTGGAGTGGATAATCGCTCTGGTTACTTGCATTTAACAGTACCAACGCTTGAGTTGCCATGGTGTGAAATCTCTAATTTGTTTTATTGTTTTTAAACGGTTACGATCGTGTTGTTTAACAGGAAAAACATACTTCAGGATACACCGACATTTAACTCTGAAGAATTTTCTGTATAACAACAGTAATTGACAGCAATCGTGCCAAAAATTTTTTACTGAAATTGATCTTCCATGCAGTTTAAAACTTCTCTAAGGCTATCTAGTAACACAGAAAATCCAACCATTGTACCGAATGACTTGACAAGTTTCAAATTTATAATCGAGTACTGGTACACCGAATTTATCTGCACACTTTCATGGTGTTTTGTGCATTTGAATCTACATGTACCCGATGAGCCCTGCAGCGAATGTATGCTGCGGGCGTTAGAGTTTCATGCACGCTGAAATTCCTTGTATATATATGATGTGTATACAATATACTTTCATTGTATACTGATATTTTTCAGCATCTTGTTCAACCTAGTTTGTCATAATTGAATATAACTATCGACTCTGTTTAAAGATGTTGTTCTATGTATGGCGAATATAAGGTAAATTGTATTAAAAAGATTAAATGTGCACTTAGAAGGCTTGGAACACACGTCCAATTGTTATTAACAAAGGAATTGCCACATGGCCATTGGCTACGCTAGCCATTCATCATTCAAGATTAATTTTTTCTACTCACTTGAATTTTACTAACTGACGTCTTCAGCTAATTAGGAATATCTATTCTTTTAATTATATCATTTTTGGATTATCATAGCTCGATAAAACAGTCAACTTTGCTCATAATTCCGCTTATAAGGAACCAATAATTATGCGACCAATAAAAATGACTAAAAATTTGCTCCTGTATATAATCAGCGTCCTTAATTAAAGTGGGTTCGTTATTCATGACAGCCTGAGTGACGGTAAGTTGCCAGATCAATATTTTTAATATTGATTTGGCCAATATAATCAATATTTTTCATATTGATTTGATCAATTTATAGATTTGTATATTTTTTTTCGTTATTCTCCATATTTCAACTAAGTCCCATGAGGGAACCATTTACTTTCTTGAGCAAAATATATGTTTTTCCTTGAATTACTAATCATGTCATAGCGTCTGAATATCAGCACATGATGCATTTATAGAACTTAATAAGGATGTGAAAAAAACAAGTCTTAGAAAAAGATAAATATACTTCAAAGATAGACTGAGAAATGTCAATCTTCGATGTTGAATAATTTAAGGAGCGTCATTGCACACTTTGCTTGATGCAGCAAAAGTATGAATTTTTCATTTTCTGTTCTCATTTCTCAAGTTGATGATAAGAATTTTAGTTTTTATTGAAACTAAATAAGGTCTTAGTGCTCGAAGCTTCCGAAACCGCCGCCGAATCCACCATCGAAGCCACCGAAACCACCACCGAAACCACCACCGAAGCCACCAATACCATGGTGGTGGGTGTGTACCTTTACTGGGACTTTAACCGGGACTTTGACGGTTTTGACAACGTGGACGGGGACGGTCTTGACAACGGTGAAGGGAACTTTGACGGTCTTCACGGTCTTGATGGTCTTGGGGACAGGGATGTGCTTCACGATGGGGACTTTGACTGGGACTTTGACGGGGAAAGGCTTGGACACGAGGGACACTCCCACGGTGTGGGCGGGATGAACGACCTTGCCAGAGACGACATCGGAGCTCACAACCGCACCGTGGCCGATACCACCACCGAGGCCACCACCGAATCCACCACCAAATCCACCGCCGAATCCACCATCGAAACCACCTCCGAATCCACCATGTGCGAGGCCGCCGTGCCAGCCATCTTCAGGGCGAGCCGCGCTCAGGACGACGAGGCCGGCGAAGAGAACGAATGTGATCTGCGTAAATTATTTTCATGATTATATAATAATTGTACATTAATTAGGCGCACATCACAAATTTATAGGAGCAGACGAAATAATTATGATGATAATTTAATACGGGACTACAAGCTGATCCAGACCCGCTTAGTTAGTTTGAATTTTCGAATAATAACTGAATTCAGGCGATTAAAAGCTAAATTTGATAGGCTATTAGAAAAAGCAATGTGGTAGGGCAAATGAGCAAATTTGCTGTTAGATAATTATAAGAAAATATTCTGTCTTGACAAATAGAATTCTAATTCAATTTTTGCAGGTAAGGAAAGAAGGTTATTCTAACAACAATGAATAATCATAAATTTCACAATTAACTTTAATATTTGGTTCAAATAAATTTATCAATGGAAACAGCCAAAAATGTAACACTCAATTTATAATAAAAAATTTGTATATTTCGCAAGCTCCAACCACTTCAGTTCATCAATAAAGTGATCTAGACAGGCACTTATATTCAGGTTCAACAAATATACGAAATTTCTGTCAAACATCAATATCCATCAATAATAACCAGTATACAATGTATGGTATAGATGTATCTAATGAAATTTAATATTGAAAATAATTGATACTAATTTGAATAACATCAATTCAAAATAACATAACCTCTTCAATATGTGAAAAGTGTAAAAAAAGTATCAATAAAATAATTCCAAAGCATGAAAACAATATAATTGTTTTTCCCTTAAATTCCCAAACTGAACAAACAGATTCCTGTTAGAAACTCAAACAAGACAAGAAAGTCCAAGGAATTGTTGGTACAGATAAATAGCTTACAGAGTTCATAGTGGATGAGGTGCTTTGACTGAAGCTGCTGATCAGGTAGTAGTGAAGCTGGGGCTCCAGGTTCATATATACTCCTCGCTCCAGGGTCACCAAAAAACAGTTGACCGTGAAGCGCTGCCTTGCCTTCGCTAGAAAATCAACGAGCTTGCCACTAGAAACTGTGTCATGACGCGTTCGCTGGTGAAAACGCGCAAGCGTTCACATTGTGGCCTAACGCGTTCGCTGGTGAAAACGCGCAAGCGTTCACATTGTGGCCTAACGCGTTCGTTGGTGTAAACGCGCTAGCGTTCACATTGTGGCCTAACGCGTTCGCTGGTGAAAACGCGCTAGCGTTCACATTGTGGCCTAACGCGTTCGCTGGTGAAAACGTGCTAGCGTTCACATTGTGGCCTGACGCGTTCGCTGGGGAAAACGTGCAAGCGTTCACATTGTTCTAACGCGTTCGATGGTGAAAACGCGCTGCGCTAGCGTTCACATTGTGGCCTAACGCGTTCGATGGTAAAACGCGCTAGCGTTCACATTGTGGCCCAACGCGTTCGATGGTGAAAACGCGCTGCGCTAGCGTTCACATTGTGGCCTAACGCGTTCGATGGTGAAAACGCGCAAGCGTTCACATTGTGGCCTAACGCGTTCGATGGTGAAAACGCGCTGCGCTAGCGTTCACATTGTGGCCTAACGCGTTCGATGGTGAAAACGCGCTAGCGTTCACATTGTGGCCCAACGCGTGCGATGGTGAAAACGCGCTGCGCTAGCGTTCACATTGTGGCCTAACGCGTTCGATGGTGAAAACGCACTAGCGTTCACATTGTGGCCAAACGCGTTCCCTAGTGAAAATACGCATTCACAGTGCGCGAAATGCGTTCCGGCGAGTATATCAGCTTATGAAGGTTTTGAATTCACAATTTTTTCTTTTTCCTTATTAAAATAAGTTTTTTTGTAAAACGAAAATGTGCAATGGTGAAAATTGGGGCATAAAATAAGTGCTGCGCATAGGTTAGGACAGGAAATTACAATCTTCCTAATATATAATAGCCCATAGTATTCCGTAGCAAGCGCAAAACCATTAAGTTGGGCGTTTACAGTTTATTAGTTCTGCACCAAACACTATTCTTCATAATCTCGAGAATTGCACGTGTGCATAAAAAAATATTTAATGAGTGTTTTTCAATTTTAAACTTAGTATGGGAGGCTTAATATATATATCTTATATGTCAGCACAATATTTGATTGAGAATTTCTGTTTTATTTCCTCCTTACTTTTAACGTGAATAATAGTGGCTGTATTCACGCTCCTCAGTACATCTTCATATTTGCAACACATAATTTAGCATTTATTTAAATGAGTCCGGACGTTTGAAGTTCATTTTTTCATGATCTGGAGGAAACAATCAGAAGCAATTCTGTTTTTTTAATCTGACTTTTGTTTGGATAAGGATCCAGAGAAGCTTTACTGATATTTTAATGTCACAATACCTCGAAATATAGTACTTTAAATAACCTCGCATCATCGTGAATATCAAATGAAAAATTTGATTTAGTCTCTGAAACCTTGTTGAGTTTTATGGAGATAAAGCATTCTGACGCTTGATAAATGCGCTCTCATGAATCGTAATTCAATCTATTTATGGCACAATAATTTTGAATACTATACATTTTTTAAAACTCCACACTATAAAATTAGATGCAACATGCAGAGCAGGAATGAATGCGTCGCCCAATTAACTGAAGTCATTGGGGGAGTGGATGCATTTCGACCGTGAAAATTTCTACCGATTTTGGGTCAGTTCTCGCCACCGCTTGCGCAGCAGAAGGACCGCAAAAACTGCACTCAGATATGACTTTCAGTTTCTCGGGCATGACTGAACAGTTCGCCTGCCCTGGCAGCCATGCGTCCAGTTGCCCGTGCCCAGATATGACTTTCAGTTTCTCGGGCATGACTGAACAGTTCGCCCGGCCTGGCAGCCACGCGTCCAGTTGCCCGTGCCCAGATATGACTTTCAGTTTCTCGGGCATGACTGAACAGTTCGCCCGCCCTGGCAGCCATGCGTCCAGTTGCCCGTGCCCAGATATGACTTTCAGTTTCTCGGGCATGACTGAACAGTTCGCCTGCCCTGGCAGCCATGCGCCCAGTTGCCCGTGCCCAGATACGACTTTCAGTTTCTCGGGCATGACTGAGCTCTTCTTATGACACGCACCCAGTAGATAAACTGAGAATTAACTAAAAAATGCAAAATTTTCCCATCTAAATTCAAATTTTAGTCTTGAAATATAATTTTTCAATTAGTATGCTTCATTGAGCAATGCAGTGGTCGGATGAGGAAATATATATATATTTTTTGTAATCTGCCGATTTCATTAGTTGCTGACTATATAAGTTAAAGGAATTTTTACTCCATATGCTTAAAGCATGCAATTTTAATGAATATTCATCAGTAATAAATAGCTATTATACCTTCTGATACCTGAACATTAACTTTCACACAAATTCGTAACAGATGTGCGTTTGAGAGTTCGTTCCATGAAATTAAGTTCATTTTTTTATTTTCAACTAATCCACTGTATTTATTAAAACCGCAAATCTCAAGCCAGTAACAGGAAAATTATCTCTAGCCGATGATTAAAGTGTTCCATCATCTCCAGGATTATATTTTGAAAGGGTTGAAAATGTCACGACATTTCAGTCGCGCGTCAAAAAATTCGTTCCAATCAACTCGATTCACCAGGATAAATTGCTAGAAGAACAAAAAAGGGAAATACAGACGTTTAATTCTCGTTATCATGAAGAAACAGTAGATTGCTGTTCAACGGTATTTTATTTATTTATTGATATTATCAATATTTTTTGTGCTATTGAAGTTTTTTTCTGTAATGTTTGATATGTGAAATGTAGTCTGTAATTTAAAAAATGAGAAAATATTTATAATTTATAGGACTATGACATTCTTTTGATATTGTAATGACATATATCACAGAACAGTGTAGCGAAATACTTTAACATTGAAAAGTATTTTAAAATTATTTACTTGCTCATTATTCCTTCTAAAATAGTTTGATATTTTGTTTTCAATTTAATAGCTTGCGTTACGCACTTAATTTTCTATCTAATAAATTAAGCCACACATTACGATTTAAAGCCGTCATGGCAATTGCCCGCCTAATTTCCGTTATTACATGTGAAACTTGATGCTATTTTTCGCTGTTAAACAAGTAACATTTTGTACTTTTATAGGCGAAATGTGTACGAATATTTTCCTCTATAATATATGATTTGATGATCGAGTCTAAGACTACAGGAATCTCATATAAATCATAAACATAAATATTTCTTTTAAAATACTTCACAATGAGTTACCTGTTATGCATGGATGATTTTGCAGTGCATAATTCGTTATTGTGTATCGAGCAGTGCAAATAACTTTTATAAATCAATCAGTGGTAATCGTTGATATTTGTTAAGCAGTGAAAACTTTTAATTATGTATCAACGAACGCTAATTGAATTTATTACGAATAAATCAATACATAATCCTTCATTGTGTCACAATCAGTACATTTTTCTTGATTAAGTGTCATCAGTAGATAATGTCATTTTAGAATATCAATTAAGATATCATCTGTTCAAACTAGGTTGATGAAAATTACCTATGCTTTGCAATAATAAAAATTTATTAGTTCACTTTATTTGTTATGATGCTGACCACAATTTAATTTGCACATGCGTCATAAAAAAAGTAATGCTAAATTTCACGTAATTCGACAGTACACGCACATGCAAATTTTTGACGACCCCAAATTTGGAGTCATTCATGAAAAACATTTTTTATTTTGACTCAAGATACGCGAGAGTTTTTCACACCCGTCGTGCGTGTCGCATCGTTGACCCGTGAAGTGATGGCATTTGGATGGCGCGCATCACGCATTGCGCAGAATGTCAAGGCAATGGTCGTAACTTGTTCCAATACACGCTTGCCTTATTGCCTTGTTTGCAGTTGATATCTTACGATGGCCGCAAGCAGGTTGAAAAACATCAATTTCTGTCAAGGTTTTCAGGAAAAATGTTGAAATTTAGATTTTCTTCTAATAAAACAATGAGGATTACAAACGCACGTGGTGTCGTGAGGCAGAAAACACGGTAATGAAAAAAAGCAGGTATCAGATTTCGAGGTCTCAGCGCGTGAGAAGCTGAAGGCATTTTAGTTGAATTTACGAGCTACGCGCATCAGCTTTCGACAGTTTAACAAGGAAAGCGTTACAAGGTATCAACGAAGACTTTGATTTATTTCCGTCCCCTATCCTGCTTATCATCAAATATACTGAGTTGTAAATTGTAAGTTTTATTTCTACTGCCAAATAATACGTAGATATTACATTAAACATAAATATAATATTTTTTTTTGAAGTATGATTTTGACTATAGTTTGAAAATAATAATTCCAATAATTCACAATTAAATTTCTGATATTTCATTATTTTTTCATTGGGATTAAAATTATGATCATTTATTTTTAAAATTATATATCACAGCTATTATTCCCAATATCAAAATTGCTCATTTTAGTCTGTTATATCTCTTTATATCCTTATCTATAATCAATAACTATACTGCTAGCTATGTTTTTTTCATCCATAAAACACGTTGTTTTTTTACTTTATTTGTACCTTTATTCGTCCACGAAAGGTTGGAATGAATTGCTAAACGTCCAGAGAATTTTCAGTTTCGGAGACCAAGTCACCAAATTTTCTGCATTCATTCATTAAAAAAGTTGTTGTATGTTTTTTTAGCAAAGTTTAAGGGTCAGGGAAACTCAAGTCATCGGTAAACTTTAATTGGAACCTGGCCTTGACATAAGGAGCTCGATACTTCAATACACGTGAGATAATTTTTATTTTTAAAGCACTTCCATCGTATTTTTCAATACAATTGTATCGGAATACGGCTGTCGTTTTATAAACCTTCGAAAGTGTACATATGTACACAATGGTTAAAAATAAATGTTTAAGCTCATCACCTAGAAAGCAAAGATCACAATTCTTGAAATAACGAGATTAACTAGATTTCTCGTTTTTATATCAGAATTGTATTAAAATTTATAGATTTCCCCCAAGCAAGAAGTTTCTAGTGCTAAAAAGTGATTGGTTGAGTTTCTGACAAAAATAGCTCTAAATTTTTTGTGATATACATCATTTTTATCCTGAGAAAGATTCATCATTGTTTTATATTCAGAAGTAATTCTCAAATTCAAAAAGTCAAGCAGTTCTCTGATGTGGTGTCATGGTTGGAAGGATAATTAATTTTTAGCCAATGATCCGATACATTTTATTTTAAGAGACTTAGCGGTCCATGCTCACGATAGAGCGGAATTAAAATATCAATCTTCAGACGTGAAGAAACTTCTTTTACAATTTCTCGATAAAGTAACGAGTTAACGTCTACAAAAATAATAATAATGAAGGATAATTAGAATTAAAACATGGAGAATCTCCCACGAAACACGTTTGTCCGTCCCGAGTCCGTTTCTATCACGCAGTCTCTCTCTCTTTGCAGTGAATGCTGTCTGAAATTGTAAAGTGCGTTGATGCTTCCAGTGTAAGATATTTAAATAAATAACCTGAACTTCGATCATCACTTGCGATAAATAATAAAATCTGTTTCTATTTGCACCGAAGAGTAATTTGATAGATTGTGTTTTAAAATGATATCATCTTGTATATAGGAGCAAACTTCTCATTTTCGTAACTCTTTGGAATAATTAAATCGAATATCGATTTAATAATAGTATCGGCGAAAAAATTGTGAAGAAAGATGGTTGCCTGATTAGTTAAGAAATTTCCTTTTTCAATATTTAGGTTGAATTTCAAGCTAATATTTCTGGCATATATTCAAGGACTTTTTTATCGTTCATAGATGAAAAATTATTCCCGAATTGATCTGACTTTTTCTTGAGGCACTAAACATTAAAAACTTAAATTGGCGCATAATTGGCCCCTTTTGAATATAATATATACAGTACCTTTCAAACTTTGTATGTTTGAAGCCTGGCAACGAAATATATGGGGCTCGTATCAACAATTAATGCTCATCATGTCAGGATATTACCGGAGAATTTCATCTTCAATGGCGGAATTCTTATCNATCGTTTAAAAATTAAAATGTGATTCATCTGTGGTAAGTGAAAGACTTACACAAAAAGGAAATTTTCATTACAATTTCAAAACAAGATTTGAATGGTATTTCCGGGCTAAATGGTAATTTTTACGGATTTGAACTTCAGTTTCATAATCGTTAACTGGATCCCTTGTGATCAGATTCGAGCTATCAGTAATTCTACTGGCCGGATTCTAAAATTTCAAGGATCAGCTATTCCGGGCAACACCGGGCAAACATGATTGTTTATCATTGAATTCAGTAATGAATTTTCTGATGAATTTCACTAATGAATTTAGGAGCCTGGTATATGTCATTAAATGCTGTTCTTAGTATCCATATATATCATTTTATGCGTTTATTTGTTGAAACGCTTCTAAATAATTTGATATCTTGTACCAGTAAAAAAGTTTGAGCTAAAAATTCTTTTTGACGCAGGAATTATTTTTGTGTCGTAGACCAGAATGGAAAACTCTTTAATTGATATACTTCATTGATAGATACCAATTTCTCTTCGATATTTGAATGATATAAGAAATTAGGCGCTTACGTTCCGACGCTCAATTACGATTGCAAAGTAGGAACATAAAACGAAGGGTATCAAAAAAATCTTTATTTCGGACGATGGACGACAGGATGGACATGGTAAAGGATATTCCTTTTACATGACAGAGTAAAGGAGGAACAAAGGACAAATGAAATACTCAATGTTTCGTTTCTTATATCCATTACTACTTGAGGCAAGTGAAAGAAGAAAGGGGAAAACTTTCAATAAATATTTAAATAATAATGTGAGAAAATCACCACTTGTGTTCAAAGACTGGGACCTTGACTGGGACTTGGACTTTCTTGACCACTTCGACGGGGACTTTCTTGATGACCTCCACGGGGACACTGACTTTCCTGAGGATCGTGACGAAGTGGGGGACGACGAAGGGCTTGGTCACCTCGAAGGGCACGGGCACGTGCACGGCAACGGGTGAGGGCACGACGATGGGTACGTTAGACACGACGTTGCCGCCAACTTCTCCAACAATACCGCCACCTCCGATTCCACCTCCGATTCCACCTCCGAATCCACCATCAACGAATCCACCGCCGAGTCCAGCTCCTCCGAATCCACCGCCGAGTCCTACTCCACCAAGTCCACCTCCGTGTGCGAGTCCACCTCCGTGAACGAGTCCACCAGCAGCGGCACAGGCCACGAGCCCGGCCAAAAAGATGACGGTAACCTGCGGAAAAGATTAATTTCATATAAGAGGGTGAAATTCATCAACATACAATGAGACATTCGGGAAATAATTTTGGAACAAAATTTTGCGTTGTTTGTGAGTACTTATTAATGCTATTTCGGCAGCTTAGGATGACTCATTTATTATGAATTGAATTTTCGCTCTCCAAAGCAATCTTTTGTTTCGAATAATATTTTGAAAGAAGCTGCCACTGTTCCGAGACTTCTTTATGAGCAATGAATGGAGCGTGCTTTATTCAAAATCATGATCCTTTGTTAAACTAAGAATATATATTGATTGTTTTGGAATGAACAAAAAAATGTATGAGTATGCCTGACTGCTTGTTTATATTTTATTCAGTAGCTGCAAAGAAGACAATTTCAATGCTAAGTTCAAGCTTAAAAAAAATTATTTTCAAATATTCTACGTCAGTCAAAAATACAGAACAATTGGTTATGGTCTGTTGACTTCTCTATGCTAACTGAAGTTTCGTGGAAGGTAATTGAGCAGTGAAAGAGAAGAGCCGACTTACGGAGTTCATAGTGTAGTTAGGACTGAAGGAAGCTCAGCGTCAGTATACCCTCTCTGGCGTAGCAGTCAACTTATATACGCGACGGTCTTGTGACGTACAACGGCCTTGACCTTGGCAGTCGCAGCTCGCTAGCCGTGCGGATTCTCGTTAGAAATTCTACAGCAAAAACGAGGGTCTCTCTCACCCTCAAGTTTGCGTTAATGGCCAATGGGAGAGTCACTGGGTTGAGGGTGGGTGGTGCTTGCCATGGGTACTTAGCCTTCCACCCTAGAATCTGGGGGCAGGGCACCTTCATTGTTCTGGGCAGATACCTTCATTAGATTCTTAGATTCTGGGGTACGGATTCTTTTGATTCTGATTCTAGATTCTGGGGTTAGATTCTTTTGGGGTTTGACCTGGGGATTAGATTCTGGGGGTAGATACCTTCATTAATCTTACCCATTACATGTGTTGCACTGAAATAAACGCATGGGTAATCGAGCTCTAATAGTGACACACATTGCACTCGTAGCATTAGTAAATCCTTTTACCGGATCAAACTAGGTCAGGATGACCCACACCAGGGCGAAAAAGTGCGTCGCTATTTTGACAAAGTTTTACTGATTAGTCGGGGTGTCGGAACCGCGTACGATAGTTCGTGTGTTCACATGACACATGAAGACATATGGAAACTGTCCGCTCCGTTTTTGGCGTGATGGAAAAAGTGACTTTTTTTCAGAATATAACAGGATTCTATCAATTTAATTCGTGGTCTTCAATTTGCTTGTTTGGATGGAATAAGAATAGCAATTAGTTCACAATATTCATTCTTATATATTTTTTGCAAGTTTTCCCACTTCCTAAGCAGCATCATTGTGTTCGTGAGTGAGCTTAATAATATTTTTAACTTGTAGGAGTCGCGATGTCTATTTATGAATTCATTTAGGGTTTAAAGTAACAGGCAATATGGCTAAGACGCTCCGATGTTGAAAAATTACAATCTACGTCGTCCCGATGCTAGAAACCGACGATCTATGTCGTCCTGTTACACGTACAAGACGACCTAAGTCGTCGTAGTGGTGGAACACGACGATCCAAATGGGGCCGATGCTTGAACATGACGACCTAAATCGTCCCGATGCTGATACAAGACGATCTAAGTCATGCGGATTTCTGGTACAAGACAATCTAAGTCGTCCTGACGCTAGAACATGACGATATAAGTCGTGCCGATGCTAGAACAAGTCGATCTAAGTCGTCCTGTTGCTGGAGTATAGCGATTTACATCGTGCCGATGCTAGAACACGACGATCTAAGTCTTCCCGATGCTAGAACACGACGATCTAAGTCGCCCCGACGCATGTGCAAGACGATCTAAGTCATCTCGATACTGGTATAAGACGATCTAAGTCGTCTTTTTGCTAGTACGAGACGATCTAAGTCGGGTCGATGCTAGAACAAGTCGATCTAAGTCGTCCCAATGCTTGTACATGACGATCTAAGTCGTGCCGATGCTGGTACAAGACAATCTAAGTCGTGCCGATGCTAGAACAAGTCGATGTAGTCGTCCCAATGCTTGTACATGACGATCTATGTCGTCCCGATGCTGGTACAAGACAATCTAAGTCGTGCCGATGCTAGAACAAGTCGATCTAAGTCGTGCCGATGCTAGAACAAGTCGATGTAAGTCGTCCCAATGCTTGTACATGACGATCTAAGTCGTGCCGATGCTGGTACAAGACAATCTAAGTCGGGTCGATGCTAGAACAAGTCGATCTAAGTCGTCCCAATGCTTGTACATGACGATCTATGTCGTCCCGATGCTGGTACAAGACAATCTAAGTCGTGCCGATGCTAGAACAAGTCGATCTAAGTCGTCTCGATGCTGGCACAAGGCGATTTAAGTCGTGCCGATACTAGGAAAAGTCGATCTAAGTCGTCCCGATGCTGGTACAAGACAATCTAAGTCGTGCCGATGCTGGTACAAGTCGATCTAAGTCGTCCAAATGCTTGTACAAAACGATCTTTGTCGTCCCGATGCTAGTACAAGACGTTATAGTTAGGAGTTAGTTCCATTGTCATATCCGCCGTCTCAAGTGCTTAGCTTTTAAGTGTCAGTTTAATTATTCATATCGCTGGGACTGGATGTCTCGGGGAATTTCATATAGCTGTGTTTTCACGGCAACTTGCTTCCAGAAAATTGTATTTATTAAGCATTGAGCAGAGAATTTAACTAGTTACATAACATTAAATTCAAATTCTAAATAAAATTGTAAAAAGGGAATGATGTAATGTGTTTTTTATACGAAATAAAATTTTTCGAAGTACAATATGACTACGAAAAATACGCGAATTTTGGCGCCAATTTTACCAGAACATTCGCGGACTATAAAATGCCGAGAAAATTTCTTTGGTTTGAAATCCCTGACGCTTGACCGCAGCGAATTGGCAATGAACATCCCGGGTATTTTGGCTAGCTCGTATATGGCCTGTGTTACTCGTTTTGCTTGTATAGCTTGTATTGCTTACATTTGTATAGATTGAATTGCTTGTGTTGCTTTTATTACTCAAGCTACGTTTGTGTTGGTTGCTAGCATGATTTTTTCGAAAAAAATTTTATGTTTTTGAATTTATATTTTATAAATGTACTTTCTATGCTACTTTAGATGCACTATTTGATATTTATAATTTGCATATATAATATGACGTGCAGAGCTTGTCGATCTGGAGCAAATTTCTTGTTTAATGTGGTAAAATTTTATTTACTTCTCTGTGTTATGGTAATTTTATTGCAGTTTACCTCGGTTGCAATTTAAGCGAGATTTTTGCGGCCTTCTGCCAGCAATGTATACGAGCCATACCAGCGATACGAATTAATATCGTATCTTTCATTTCACCAATTGCCTCATCCAGATCTTGTTCTATAGGCAATCATTTATTTATAATTGAGCCCACCCTCTCTGCGAAAAAACTCTCTGCGCCTTGAATAAAGCGAATATAAAAATTACTTTTGGATAGTTCTTGCTGCTTTAATATTTACCCTATTATCAGTTGGTTGCGTGTGCCACGAGTGTTAAGTTATATATGACCTATTCACCGGTATATAGCGCATGGATCACTTCGATCATTCGATTTACTGGCGAATGATCGAATATGTTACTAACTAACCTAATGTTAGTAACATACCTGTAGCAAATGTATTGCAATTCCTCATAACTTCGCTTACAGTTTTCGTAACAATTCTCCTGCAGTTCTTTTACGATTCATTTACAGTTCCAAGCATTTCTATTTAGTAAACCTACAGTTCTATTCCATTTCATAGTATGTTCCCCAGCATTTCCTCTTTAGTACGTCGACACTTCCTGGCAGTTCCGCTTTAGTTCATTTACGCAGTGCAGTTTCCAATTCCTTACAGCTCTTATTAGTTTATCAGCACCTCCTTGGCAGTACTCTAATAGGTTATCTCTTACATGTTCAGTTTATGTGTTCCTCAACAGTCTATCTGTTCCCCAACAGTTTATGTGCTCCGCAACAGTTTATTGTTCCTCGAAAGTTTATGTGTTCTTCAACAGTTTATCTCTTCCTCAACAGTCTATCTGTTCCTCAACAGTTTATTTATTCCCCAACAGTTTATTTTTTGCTCAACAGTTCATCAGTTTATCTGTTCCTCAACAGTTTATTTATTCCCCAACAGTTCATTTTTTGCTCAACAGTTCATCAGTTTATCTGTTCCTTAACAGTTTATCTGTTACTCAACAGTTTATTTATTCCCAAATAGCTCCACAGGAGTTCATCACCAGACAACAGACCCAGCCTGCTGGTCTCATGTTAACAGGGAAGCTCCCTCAGAAATTCATTAAGTAGAATGCGGAATGACAGCCACAAGGGAGACGCGGTCCTGTGACGATCTGCTACTGTCTGGTGTGCTGCATTTACGTTGCGTTGCGTTGCGGCAACACTTAATTCGTGTCTCTCAAGAATAGAAGAACAGAATAGATTCGTGTCTCTCAAGACACACAAAATAGATTAATGTTAAATTATATGAAAAATTCAACTAGAGTTTTCATACAGCTTGTTATTAATGAGGTTCGAGAGAAATAATGTCGAATTTGGGCAGGATATTGGATTTTTATTATGTGATCATTATAATTAAAATATTGAATGAAAATGTCATAAACTGCATTTAAAGGTTCAGTAAACAAAGGATCATATTAGTCTGACTATTTTTAGTATGGTTTTATTTGAATGAGTGGCGGCAGCTGCTTGAAATATTCACTAAATTAGATTTACATGGTAAATTTACCTCCTACAATGTATGTAATTCTTTTGTACATAATATTCTACAATATATGTTATTATCGTGAACACAGCCTACTTCAGTGCAATTCTTTCGTCTGAACATAACCTTCTTCAGTGCATGTTTTTTTTTTATTCTGAAAATAACATTCTTTACTGCATGTCGCTCTCTTTAACAAAACTTTCTTTCGCACATGTCTTTCTTCGGAATTTAATCTATTTCAATACTTGTACATCTTCGCGATGAAATTCTCATATGTTTCATTATAAACAGTGTATTTTCATACAACTAACTCATCTAAGTTTGCTTGAGATGAGCCTTGATGAGGAAGTCGCTCATACAATACGTTTCTTTTCCACCTGTCGCCAAATGTGCCTTCTCATCCTACCTAAATTTTTTGACAACCTGTCGCCAAATGTGCCTTCCCATCCTACCTAAAAATTTGTTAACCTACCTGACACCAAATGTGCCTTCCCATCCTACCTAAATTTTTTTTTTGACAACCTGTTGCCAAATGTGCCTTCCCATCCTACCTGAAAACATTTTTTTGTCTACCTGCCCCCAATTTTCCTGATTCACTTGTCACAAACTTTTTATAACCCACCTGTCACCAACTTTGTCTTACGTACCTGCAATAAACATTGCCTTGCCTACCTGCCACCAAAATTTTGCTCTCCAACTGCCATCAAATATGCCTTGTCTGCTTTTCACAATCTGTGGTGTCTTCTATCTTTGTCCGGCTAATAATAGGCAGTCGATGAAGGCATACGTG